ATGATGTGATTTCTTTCTCCCCCTCCCAACTCCCTCTTTGTGCAGGCACTTTTCCAAAAAGAATTGCAAAAAATAGGCAGTTCACAAAACACCAAGTTATAAGCTAGTATTTTTCAAAGCAATAGCTTAGACATAGGCATGTGAAAATGTATGTAGGCACTTAACCAAGTGGTCTGGCAGTGTAGTCACGTGTGATGGAGTTAAAGCTACTTGGTGAGCTACTGCTAAAGTGCGTTGGTGCAGTTTCATATTCTCTTCTTCTCAACAGCAAAGTTAAGCTGGCAGGGAATTTATTTTATCTTTCCACTGAAGTAGGATAAGAACATGTAAGTGGACTGTTACCATGACTCAGCTAACAAGAATTAGCTGCTACATTAGCCTTTTACATCTTGCCTTGCCTCTTATTTTCAGAGAGTTGATAACCTGGTTGCCCCTAGTCAGGCTAATGTGTGTGAATCTTAAGACCCTTATTTTAGATACTCATAAACCAGAAAGATGACTTGCTAATGGGACTATATGCACATCTGATTATGTAGTATTTTATCATTGCTACCTTGTCAGCACAAACAGCAGGGGCTTTTGCAAGTCCCCTCAGCAGCATGCCTCTTTTTACCACCAGTTCTAAAAGTCTTGGAAGGGTATGTGTTCACCCTGTGTCGCCGCACATTCTTACATCTGTGTTTCAGTAACCAAGATATATTTGTGTTCATTGCAAGTATTTTCAAAGTAGCATGGGATAATTGTCCCTTTGCAAGCATCTCTCTCTAAACTATTGTTTAAAACTGCCAGATGCATCTTTGTTTTTTATTAAGAGTAAGGCAACAACAGAGAGTCTGTAGTTATCAGGAGATAATAATTCCCCAAGGGCATTTGAAGCACATCACAACCAAAAGATTGTGATTACTCCATGTTTGCTATACTGCTTATTATTCCTTATTGCTTAATTATGGAACCAGAGTGTGCTTCCTGAATGCTGTCATCTAAATAAGATCTGCAGTTCTCATGCTCTGCTTCAGTGTTACATGGACTGGGGAGCTTTGTAGTGTTTTGAGATGATGCAGTAGGGTGGGCCAGTCATGGCAACTCTTCTGGCCTTTGGGAGACCCAGGCATTCAATCCCTGCTCTGTCAACTGCTTGCTGAGAGGCCCTGGGCAAGTCACTCAGCTTCTGCATACCTCAGCTTTACAAGTCTGCTCAGATGCTACCATAAATAAGGCTGTGTGAGTATCTAGAATAGAAATAATATAATGGACTTCATCTTGACCTCTAGGTATGGACTCAGCCAGCATGCTATGAAGACACTGATTTTCTTTTCATTGTGCAGTGAGTGGTCTTTGGTGAAGTGCAGTGGCTGAGGGTTGTGTGTGCCGGGGGGTTGAGAGCACAAGGGAAGACAGAATTTAATATCTTAAAATCATAGAATAGTTTGGGTTGGAAGGGACCTTCAAAGGTCTTCTGGTCCAACCCCTCTGCAATGAGCAGGGACATCTTCAACTAGATCAGGTTTCCCAGAACCACATCCAGCCTGGCCTTGAATGTCTCCCAGGGATGATGCATCCACCACCTCTCTGGGCAACCTATGCTAGTGTTTTAACACCCCTGCTGTAAAAAACATTTTCCTTACATTAGCCTGAATCTCCCCTCTTCTAGTTTAAAAGCATTACCCCTTGTGCCATTGCAACAGGCCCTGCTGAAAAGTCTCTACCTGATTTCACAAGCATGTGACTGCAGCCCAAGTGGTCAGGCTCCCAGCGGCACTGAAGGCTCCATTGCTCTTGACCAGAGAGAGCCTCTGTTCACACTTAAAGTTTATGCATATTTCCATCTCTGGTTAAACTGATGCAGTTTGTGCTTGCCAGGCTGTGGCATGTAAGGTATGACACACAGGCGTGTTACTAGGTTGTCAGCAAGCTCACCTAAAACAAGCGTGTAATGCTGCTGTGTTAGAAGAAGGCTTTGATGTCACCACTCTTTGCTGATTCAATGAGTCTTAAATGACTTGCTGCCTTGAAAGGCAACATACTATTGCGGTTATGCATTGAAAAAAAACAGAAAGTGTGGCCTTCTCCAGGCTCACTGGGCCCAGAAATCTACCCTGATGAACTCTTTTTAAGTCTTTGATTTAATGTCTCATTGAATCATGTAACCTACTCTAGAGAAGGGGAAAGCCATTCAGCATGTGTTTGAATATTAGCCTTGATTTTTTTATTGTTTGCATTAAAAGGAAGAGAAGAAGATGGGTGATAAAACTCAGTTTCTGAATTATCAATTTCCAGATTAAACTCCTGCTGAACTTCATTCCTTAGACTTGTTTTTGAAAACTTGAATAAGAAATAGTATTGGTGAAAATCCCTTATTGTTATAAAGTTGGCATAAAGTCTACTTAATGAAGTGCTTTTATGTCAGGGGCCATATTTTTTAATTCCCCCTTTTCATTCCTGAAATCTGAACATTAATAGCACCTTCCATTTCAATGTGCTCTTCTAGCATGCATCTTCTGTCTTCTGTAAGAGGCTGCATGCAGTCCTACTAGCAAGCTCTTGTGTCATAAATAGAATTTGTTCAGGAAATAAAAATGTATTGTTTTCATTGTTAGAGGATGCTACTAAATTGGCTGTATGTTTGTCTAATAATCATATCTAAAGCTGATTATTCTGGTAATAGCCTTAAGATATTATTTAAAAAAAATATATAAATGCACTACTTTTGTACTAATACAAGTTTTTAATCTCTTCTTGTTTCTATGAAGTCTGAATGAGATTTTCAAAATTGAATAATAATTTGATCCGTTAATCTTTTGAAGCTAGTAATTTTATTTTCCTCTCTTTGCAGTCTCTGAGGCTCACAAATGAATAGAGCTTCATTACTGGAGTCTGCATTTAATAACCATTATCCATTATCTTGTAATTAAGACTCCCTGTAACGAATCATGAGGACAATGCAAAAATACATAGTACATTTCTTTAATGAACTGGAAAATGTTCATCTTGTTCTATTTAGTAATGAGTTGCTGAATAGTCGTTAAATCCACTGGAGAATAGAGCTAGATGGATTTTGAAGACTATCTTGAGTTTGTAGTTAATCTATTAGAATTAAAATTTCATCTTCTATTTTTATCAACAGCTGATTAGAAGTCATTCTGTTTGACCAAATTGATTAGAAGACCATATACAAGGGCAGCTGTTGTTTAATGAAAGTTTTTAATGAAACTATACCATAGAGACTTGTAATTATACGACTTATAAAAGCTTTGACTTACCTTATACTAGAAAAAATGGGAAGTATTGCACTGAAGGACTTTTAAGTGCTACATTTCGAAAGGGAAATTAAAAATATAATTTGGCGATGTCAAAGTTTCGCTTCCACTGTTACGTGTTTTAATGTGACTATCAGATGTCCATAGTGTCTCTCTGGAAGGGAGTAGCTCTGAGATATGTAACTCGATTGTCTCTGTGCTCCATTCTTTGCAAAGCTCAATCAACTATTAATTGCCTCTTTTGTGCACTGTACATTCTCTGGAGTTAGAACTTTTTCCACAAAAAAAAAAAAATTGCTTCTCTTTGGAATGGAAACTGTCACAGGAGGGTGCAGTTTAATCACCAATGGGCCTAGACAGGAAGCCTACAAAGAAAGCTGTGTTCTTACAAGACACGATGTTAGTGATACTGTTTGTGTTTACATCACAGGGCACAGGAACATACCTGGCTTTGTCTTAATACCATCAAGGATGAGACCTAGTTGTCTGTCAGTTGGCAGCATTATCAGGAAGGTGGGTCTCTGGAGTGTGCTGCAGCACACCGTCAGAGTGTAGTCTAGGCAACTCTTTAGTTTCAGCCAGTAGTGAAACTTCCCTTGCTTACTCTAGGGAATGCTGTAGAGGTATCATCATTCAAATAAGAGACAAAATGGACCCTAAGCCAAAGCTGAAGTGGAAGCAGATGCAGTTCCAATTGCCTTAAGTGGATGATGCACTACTACATGACGGTTGAATTATCCCTCTTCTTCTCCCGATTACTTTTGATAATTAATGATCCCACAGTACATCTTTTCTAAGAAGTAGGTTCCCAGAGATGAAGTGTGCCCTAATGCAATTAAAGAAGTTTTCTCATTGTTTTGTGTCAGTGCAGGATCATACAGTGCAAGGCAGATTTTTTGGTTCACTTTTTTAGCTTATACTGTGCTGCAGAATTCATTTTAAGCCAAGCCAGAACAACAGGAATGCACAAGAATACTACACAAGTATTCAGGGCAGGTAGCGGAGACTGCTATTCACAAGTGAGAAGCCAGGAACAATAAGCCAAGGTTAACTTTCTTTTAAATAACACAGATGTTTTGACCTTATTACTGCATTATATCAGGCCATGGGTTTAAATATAGTAATTTGCAGTGTTACAATTGCAAAAATGCGTAAGAGAGTTTTTACCCTGTTCAGAGAATTACACAGCTGGTTTCATAAATACATGGGATTGCTTTCACTTTAAACAGCTGCAGGAGATACAATACTAGACTGTCAAATGTGAGACTAAATAGATGCAAGATTTAATTAAAACTCTATATATTCTATTCAGAAAGATCCTTGAGGAAATACTACAAAGTTGATTTAATGTAGAATTTATTCAGAGGAAATAATTTCCATTGTAGTTAGACACATTCCTGTTCATGCATTTATACACATATACTGAGTGTCTGTACAGGAACATATATTATATTGGACTGTCTTGAAGAGACTGTTAGTCTGATAGCTAGAGCAAAGAATTAACAGCTTGGATGTTCATTTAGCCACTGGGATGGCTAACTTGCTGTGAAACCAGATGGGTATCATCCTCCTGCTCCAGCCTCCACAACTGCAAGGTTAGCACTGTCACCACAGGGACGTATGCGTAAATGAATGCTTCATAATTGCTGTGATGCATAAGATCATCTGTGGAGGGCATGAACTACATATGTGTGGAATGCCTCTTGTTCTAAAACTACCATAAAGCTTTTTACTTCTTTTCAGGTTCTGATTTTATAAAGACGTCTACAGGGAAGGAGGTGGAAAATGCGACCTTTCCAGTTGGAGTAGTCATGATGCGAGCCATTAAAGAATTCTACTGGCAAACTGGCTGCAAGGTAATTCTTACTACCTTTATAAAAATTAACTAAACAGGCTCATTCAGAAGGAGATAAGACTGTAATGGTTTCAAAATGAAGAACATATAAATCCACATACATTAGCTTCCTTGGTTATAGGAGCCATAGGTAATGGGACTTCTGTCTTGTATGTCTCGTTTGATTTGCTATTATTCTAGTGCTTAAAAAAACAAACCCAAAAGGCACTTTTGGCTTTCCTGCCTGGAATAACTGTCACTTCATTCCCTAAAAGCTCATGCAATCTTGATGCGTCCCCTGTTGCATTTGGGTTTGAATTTTGTTTCACCATTTAAGGTATTTAAATAGTCATCTCCACCTGACAGTGATTGGCATACTCCCATAAACCTCAGTGGAGCTATACAAATTTATAGCTGCTGAGAGTCTGTCCAGTGTACACAACTGTATTTTCTGACTTTGTTCTGGCAACCCAAGAGATAAATTCTGCTCTTTCCTCCCTTGCCAAAGGGACTTTCCAAAGGGACAAAAAGGCAGATCCAGTTGGAGCCTGTTGTGTGGGATGGAGGGAGGGAGGGACTGGGGCCAGAAAAACATTATGTCCTAGTCCACGACATTTATCTGTCATGTCAATGTCAAATGAGGTCAGTGGATGCAAGGAGCAGGGGAGAAAGTATGGCAGAGCCAGTGATGAGCTATCCATGCATCCATGCTTGTGCTGAAGCAGTGAGAAAGGAGGAGGTTATTCAAGAAGGCTTAAGCCACCTCTCACTTCTTTTATCTACATGCAAGTGGGAGCTGCCATTAGATCCGGTGCTGATGTTCAGCTGCAGGCTTTGACTTCACCTGCAGCCTCAGGAAAGAAGATCATATCTCTAACTAAAGACTCACATTTCTCTCCAGCTCACCCTTCTGGAAGTGGCCTTTCAAAGATATGATGTTAGGACATGGGATGAGAGTGGGATAGGAGCTGAGACGGCTTCAGGGGCTGTTGGAGCTAGAGGAGAACGTGACAGCAGGTTAGACACGCGTCCATCTGCTCTCTGTGGTCATCTAACTGAGGCCATTGTGATCCCTGGGCTGTTCTCACTCCTCCCTTCCCTAGTTTGCCTCTCCCTCTGACACACCACGACTCGAGCAGCTTGGATAGTCTTGCTTCTGCGGGAACATCTCCCCTGCTCCCAACTTGAGGCAGATCTCTGGGGCTGGGTGACTCACCTCAGCACTGGTGCTGCTTATAGGAGCTGTATGCCAGAGGTTGGGCTCTGCTGCATTAACACAGCTTTGTACCTATAATTGGATATAGATGTTGAATTCACCTTTTGCTTTAAAAGGATGCATTCATGGTTTAAAATGTGTTATTAAGAATGAGCGCTTATGCCTGTGTGCATGTATGTGTCAGAGAATTAGATGTAAACTGACTTTATGTGCTTTTATTAACTGAAGACAATATTATCACTGACGAGATTTCTAAACGGTTTCTTTAACAAACTAATTTTGCAGCTGTAGGGATGCTTTCTAGCAAGGCGTTGGCTTGGAAAAACAGGTTAATACAGAAATTAAACTTCTTCAAGGAAAGGAACAAGTTGCAGAGTAACATTTATTGACTGATAAGCTGTGGTGGTGATATGAAAAGTTTGTAATATAATGGGAGATAATCTTTTCCTGTCATTATTGAAGGACATACATAAATTGGTTTTTCTGTTGGGAAAACCCCCAATCCAGAAAAACTTATTACTTTTAATAATATAAGCTGAAGAGAAAATTCTTGAGGAGATGAGCTTATTAAGCAAAATAATGAAATGCTGTGAAACAGCAGGAAAGTGGTAGCTGGACTTTGTACTCCTCTTGAATTAAATTCCAGCCCCCCTTCCTTTTTACCTTTTTATGGCAGTCAGATGTGCTGTGTGGAAGGCTGGTAAATGGAGGACAGGCTTGTCTTTGTAAGCTTTTTTTGTAAAGAGCTTTCTGAATTTGCTAAAAAAAAAGAAGGAATTCTGCATGGTGTTTTTAATTCTCTTATTGACTCTATTTTAGTTGTTTTTCTGCTTGTTTTTTTTTGACAGATTATCTCAGCTGTAATATTTCTAGGAAGAAATCTAAATTTGAATTTCATTAGGATTTCTCTTCCTGAGGGAAAACACATTCCCACTCTTTTAATTTATTGTCTAGAAGATGCTTTTCCAGTTGCCATGGTTTAAATTCCTTTTGGAAATCTAATGTGAACAGATGTATGCATACACTCATGGATGCATGCATGCGTCCATCTATCCATCCATCCATTCACAAAAAAAAACAGTCTTCATGTTTTGGATTTATCGAGCTTTTCTTGTTATTGTTCTTTATAATCTTATTGGAAATATGCTGTTATCACAATGCTTCAGAGTGAGAGAAGGATTTATTCTATGTTTGTTTATCCTGAAATCACTATAACAAAAATTACCAAACACATTTAAAAACAGATACTTTTTGATTCCACTATTATATTCATACGGTACAAAGAAATCCTCAATGCAGTGAGGTTTCAGGAACAAGTATGCAGAAATCAGAATGATAATTCTTGCAGAAGGCAGCTGCCAGGAAGAAGTATGGAAGGTAAAGGTTTATGGCAGAAGAAAACAGAAAGAATCATGTGCTACTGTACAGATTGTTCAAAGGTAGTTACTATATTTTGTTAATGCAGGACCACTTTTTCCCAGCTCTCCTGGTTTTTCAAGAGGTTAGCAAGCTGCTACAGGCCAACATTTTAGCTAATGCAAGTGGCAATTTTTGATGAGGGGTTTGATAGGTGCATGTCACAGGCTCTGTCTCAGAATGAGATTTGTTTAAATTACAGCTAACCAAAAGACTGGTGCTAGGGGTTCTATTCCATGTCACCTCAGTGCTGCCTATGCACAGCAGGTTGATCAAGGGACTCAAAAGAGTCTTTACCTCAAAGTTATGTTTTTCTTGACGTGTGTGCCTCTACTTACGTGGCAGTTCCCCTGACCAAGTATGACATCTCACATCAAGTGACTGAAAGCTTATCCAGAGTGCGTTGAGAGGGAAGTTTTGCAGTTCCTGTGAAACACAAAACTTTCATTTTTTTGTAAAGTCAGACCTAATTTAATTCCCATTTGGAAAGTTTTAGTGAGAATTAAACCTCTGATAGGTTTGAATGTACCTCCCAATCATGTATTGTTTGGTGCACAGTCTGTTTATAAAGAACAACCATCTCTCACCACTCTTCCCGTGAGTCAGCTGCCTCACATGCTTTATTTCAGCATCTTTAGTATATTGTACGTATATTTGTTGTTATATATTTGGAATTAGTTTACAACATGGGCAGTAGTTGTAACTAGATTTCCCAGGTCCTGCCTAAATCCCTTGGTCTAGTATGTGCTGTGGGCTAAGTACTCCCATTAGACCTCAAACCCACCTTCTTAGAAGGTGCACTGGGGTCAAAAGCATTACTCCCTCAGTTGCCATGCCTCGTGATGAAAATATTACCTTTTGTAGTGATGGCTGAAGCTTGATAGCTCTCAGCACTAGTCTGGAGCTGATACTGTTTGCAGGCAGGTACTTACTGAGTAGAGTTGTTACATACACCACAGGCACTTTGAGACTGCAGGTGTACAAATGCTGATTGCTCTTCTGGGGTTGCTGATGAATGAAAATGTGTATTGCACTTCTTTTTGCTGTATAAAGGTTGGATTTAAACCTGCTGGGGGCATTCGGACGGCAAAAGAAGCTGTTACTTGGCTTATGCTGGTGAAGGAGGAATTGGGAGTGGAATGGCTAACACCAGAGCTCTTTCGCCTGGGTGCCAGTAGTTTGCTGGAAGACATCGAGAAACAGGTTAGTTTTTAATGTTTTTCAGCTTGATGGAGGGAATAACTAATCTTTCTAAATATGCTGGCTTACTGTTACTGCAGAATATGCTTTTTAGTGCTGTTTAAAAGATAATAGAATGTACATCTAATTCATTATTAAAGACAGTTTCACTTCCAGCCCACTATTTCTTTAAATTTGGCCTGTTGTTACAGACATATTCCAGCAACTGGCAATTGCCTTGGCCAGGTTTGCAGTGCAGTGAGCAAAGAGGCTCAGTTCGTACAATTGCAGAGCCTTTTGCAAATGCATGGTAGTGCCCTCCCCTGCACTCCTAGCTGTTGCCAGTTCAGCTGACCCTCACGATACCTCACAGACCCTTTGTGTCACTGTGCTGCAACTGTTCACGATATATTTCCATGCTGTGGAGAAAGTCACGTCTCACCCTACATATGGTACTGCTGATAGAGAAGGTTTTACATATTGATGGGGAAGACAAGCAATTGCCTCCTACAAAGCCTCATTTTGCTAATTGCTTTTATTTTTGCGCAGGCTGGTCGCTGCGTTTCCTGGCAGGAAAACAGTGTATGAGGTGCAGTGGCAACGTGTAGTTCCTGGTGGGCAGAAAGGTTCTGACCTGTCTACCCACAACCTACTTCACTGGCGCAGGGTATCAACCCCAAAGGATACAACATAGTTGAGAAGAGCATAAGTAATTTTGGATACTTTTAATATCATTAAATGATGCTGAAATGGTCAAAATCAGATCATAGTGAGAGTAAAGCAGTATCTTCCACCTTGCTCTTTTTGAAAGCTTAGTTAAAAGCAAAAAATCATTGCTTTTTTCTTTTCTTTTTAAAGCAGCAAGAGCCCTTAGTTCAGATCCTATGAACAAGTATATAAAGGTATACTACATCGTATTTTATGCACAAACACACATAGACACAAACAAATATCCATCATCTTCATGTGGCATGCCTTTAATTTGTTACTTCCTTGACATTTTCAGATTTATAGAGATATATAATTCCATCATAAATTTTCTTTTTTCTTGCAGATTTTCTACCATGTGACTGGCTCTTATCCGCTTCAGCATGACCTGGCAATGGCTTAGACACAAAATCAACTCAGGATTACTTTCACAAAAGAGGTCTTTAAGCAAACAACATTCAGAAGTTTTCTGACAACCAAATGCATATGATAAAATTAAAAGACTAATTCTTCCTTCTTCATATTTTATAGTATATAAAAATATGCTTGTCTGCTGGTTGTACTTGATCCAAAAGCAGAAAAGATGGTAATTCTGAAATAAATTGTTAATACTTACAGATTTGCAAAGTTAATCTTGCAAAGTCTTCCTCAGACTAGCCTGAAAAGCTTATTAATGGCAACACTGAAATACTATGAAAAAGATTTAGGTGGCCAGGTAACAGTTTGCAGTAACAGAATATGAAATATCTATGGAATGTTTCAGACTACTAATTAAGAGCTACAGATCTTGGAATAGCTTTCCATTCGCCTCAGACAAAACCTTCTGCCACAGATGTGTTGCGCTATTAATTGTTATGTTGATTCACTTTCAAGCATTGTAACCTGAGAAAATGAAACTTGGCTATTACTTTCTTTTATAAAATGTCTCTGCAGCAAAAGAAAACCTTTTTTTTTTTTTTGGCATTTTTTCCCCAAACTTGGGCACAGACATCCATATTTAGACCCTTGAATAAAGGTGGCTTGATTTCTAGAACAGCTGAGTATCCACAGTTGCTCCTGAAGTTAATGGGAGCTCTGGGTGATCAGAACAACTGAAAATCAAGCAGACTTATATAGGTGCCTAACTATGCATTCATGGGCCTATTTTTAGGCATTTCACTCTTAAATTTTAGTCTAACTTGCTTAGAAGCTCCCATTCCTGTCTCCTGTCATTTTAAAACACATTCATGCAAATCTTTGCATCTTAATGTAGGGGGGTTTGACTGTCATTTTGCAGGTGTCACTGCTGTGCTGGCTTCACCTTGGTCATTCTAAAAGCGGTTTTTTAATTTAAAAGGTGATTTGAATTTTCTCCTATGCAGGGTTTACAGCTTTAATATAGAAAGTACTTTTCTTAGAGCACATTAAGAATAGTACTGAAATAATCAACACCTTTTGAATATCAGACTACAGCTAGTAGATTCATTATTTCAGAGCTGCATTCTGCTCACTAACCAGAGTTGTACTAAAAACTTAATTATCTTATCATCATGACTAGTCTCACTGACTTAGGTAGGTCTCATCAGGGAAGTAAGAGAAGGAGGATTTTGCTGTAAATCAAGCTACAAAGGTACATTTATTGCAAAGAGATCTGTACTTCATAAAGATAATAACTCAGTTATTTATCTGGCTATACCACCTGAATCAGTGGTGGTCTACTGAACACCTTGGACAGATAGGAAAGCTGAATAGGGGAAAAAAAGTAATAATCAGAGAAACAACATCTACAGAAAGTAAAATCCTATATGCAGTGCTCAAAAATAGGCCTTAATTTCCCAGGAAGTAGTTTGTCCAAGGCCTCCAGCCTTTTTCTGCTTCAGGTCTCAACGCAGAAAATGAAGCTGAGCAGTGACTATATTTTCATGTTTGTTTTTTTGTGGAAAGTGGCCTTTTTTTGCTACAGGTTTTCCTTCTGATTTTCCTGCCAGTTTCCTGAAGGAAAAATCCAGTGCCTGTTTGCATATTTAGGGGAAAATTCTGCTGAGCTTCCAGAAATACAGAGCCTGTTTTAGGAAGTCAGCTCCCACCAGGTGTTTGCCAGGTTGACCCTCTGCCCTCCCAGCAACTACACATTGGATTTTGCTGCTGTTTAACTCTAGCTCTGTTAGAGTATATTTCAGTACTTCAGTACTTCTGTTAGAGTATTTCAGTACTGTTAGAGTATATTTCAGTACTTCCGTAGCAGAGAGATTCACTTTACTTGCAGAGTACACTTTCTTGTTGTTGGTTGTCTTTTGGACATTTAGGCTGAAGATACAAGCCATTTTTTGGAGATGCTTTCAGAGATGCTTTAGTTTCTAGGTGGACTCTCCATAGTTCCTTAAAATTAATGGAAGTACAACTTTGCCACCTAGCTATTTAACGTGAGTACCTCTGAGAACAACCTCACTGTTTCGACAGGAGCTATGTGTTGATTAATGAACTTGCCAAGAGGAATTGTTTATATTTCTGTTGACAGTCACCCTTTATTTTGATGTGCACATCAAAATGGGCTGCTGCTGGTTACTTTGCTTTAGAGGGAACAAGCTCCATTTGCAGAGGCAGAGGTTCAGCTTCCTGAAAAGTCGAAGATAGCTGCTACCCTTTCCCATGAGCATTGCAAACACACGAGTGTGAAATACTGTGCAAGTACAAGCCAGGCAGTGTTTTGGGAGAAGCTGGATTGGAAAGTAATGTAAACATTTTTCTGTTGAAACCTGTAATTTTGGGGGCAAAAAAATTAAATATATAAAAGTAACACACTCTGTAAAGACATTCAAATAAAGATGATCCTGGTTTTGGGGTGGATTTTTTTTTGAGGAATAAGCAGGAGGCTCAGTGTTACGGAGTTTCTGCTTGTTAACTTCTGTCTGACTCGGGCTGTATTCATACTGTCTGTGGGTGTGGATTCTCAGTATGACCCAGAGACTTGTCTCTCACTTCTACAGAAGCTGCTGGTACTAGCCAGGTGTTGGTCTATTGACAGCCCTGGGCAGTAGAAGAAGATGAACCCGGGCTGGGGCTCCCATCAGAAGCAGCAGTGGACTGGGGTGGAGACATATAACAAGGCATGGCCAGGGAGCCCCTACAGGAGATAGATACCAACAGCACAGGTCCAAGGTCCACCCTGGAGATAGAGGTAGGACTGGAGACCGCTGCTCCTGCAACATAGCTCAGAGTGATGCTGAGCTAAAGTGGGACCCCTGAGCCCCTTGCTGTAGGTGGAGAGAAGCCGGGCAGGGCCAGTGGTGAGCCTGTGAGAGAACCAAATATAGGGGGTACAGGGACTAACACACATTTTGATCTTGGATCAGAGGCCAGCATGGCAGCACCTACACCCTCACCCATGGAGAAACAGAAGCCCTCACAGTGTGGTCTCCTAGGCTTGCTGTCCTTAGACCTGACCCACACTTCCACAGCCCTCTCCTCCACGTTTCCCATTGCTGACACTGTTTGCTGCTGTTTAGTTCCCATGGTTAGGAAGCAGTTGAGATTTATCAAGGGTGCTGCAGCTGGGTGTCACTCCTGCAGACAGCTTGTGAAAAGTAATGGGGACCTGAACTCAGGAACCAGGGAGGGGGCAGCACTCCATCACTGCACAGACTTTGGGAAAAGTTCAGATTTAGCACTGTGCTTCAGGCCATTAGAAAAGGAACAGGCAATTATGCGCTCCTGTCTAAATATATTTCAGAGTGTAACATATGTTTTGTGCAAGTCAGTCTTGTATACTAATTTATTATTTTTATAGCACTTATTCATTTAGGATTTTAAATAGCTTCATTTTATAGACCACATTACTTTGAAAAAAAAAAAAAAGAATAAATTCAAGAAGAAAGTAAAGTAGAAACTGCAAATCTAGAAGATTCTACATCAGCTTATTTACCAGAAGAGGGAACTGGGAGAGAGAGTAAGCTTTTTTTTCCTGGTTTGTAGGAAACAAAGATATTAAGTAGTAATTATATGTGAAGTGTATGTATCAGCTGGGGCAAGTAATACTTTGATATCTTCATTTCATCAGTCATATTAAGTTCATTCTTTCATTTCCTTTGTGAAGCAGGGAACATACATTATATACCATAGCACATGCTACTGAGACAGAAAAAATGATCTACTTTTAATTTTGTTTTGCTCAGTTGGAACTATGGCTTCCTGGCTCCCTGGGGGCAAAAAGACACAAAACAACAACAGCATGTTTTATCCAAATCTTGGTGAGCTTTTGCTGAAATTACCAGTGCTGATGTCTGAATGTTGTGTATAACATGTGGTAGGAGTGGAAGGAAAGAAGGAACTGCCTTTAATTAGATGTAACCTGCCAAGAAGAGAAAGAGAATTGTCCATCTGGTCAGTCCTTATTTAAGAGGGCAACCAAGGATAAGAGAATTCTTAATATTCAAAGACACCATAGGCAAAATTACTGGCTTACCATGTTTATTAAAAATCCCAGAAAGCCAGAACTGTGCTAAATTAAGAGGTGGTAAGAGAATGAAAGAAAAGCATCAAGAAAGGAATCCTTGCACTCCCTAAAAGCAGGAGTAAGCAAGTGATGGGAGACTGTCAGGTCCCAACCAACTACACTATAGAGACCTTTCCTCAGTTCTAGACAATTGGCAGATCTTTCCCCTTCTCTGAGGACCCACAGTAACCACTTAGCAAGAGAAAGTGTGACAAAGTTGTTTTAATATCCTTCAATGAAAGTTAACATTGATGCAATGAAGGAGTGCCAACAAGATGCTCTAGCCATTCCTAATGAGTCTGGTGATTTTAAGTGACTCTGTTTTGATCAGTGAGGACATCTTGTGGGTTGCTAAGTCTTGGAAGTTGTAGAAAATCTGGTCTTCTGAAAGCAAAGCTTTCTTGAGTCATTACAGTTTTCAGATCTCCAAGATCATAGGGAGTGTTTGAAAACACTGAATTGTAAAAGCATCACCTTAGCTGAGGTGAAAACAAAAGATACTTTAAAGAATGTTAATAAACTGAGGAGTTTGTGCCAGAATTGACAACAGTTGTTTTTTTTTCAAGTCTTGCTTTCTGTGTGGGAGGAGTAGAGGAAGGAACTTTGCAGGCTCAGCTGGTGGAGTTTACCGTCATCTCCATACAGTACAGTGTCATAAAACCAACCCCCAAAGTGGATGAGCATCTTTATGGTCCTCCTCTGGACTCACTCAAGCAGGTCCATGTCCCTCTTTTGTTGGGGGCCCAAAGACTTACATGTGTTCTCACCTATTTATTAGTAACAAACAAGCAAACCAGCCAACCACTTCATATATCTGGGTCAAGGCCAGTGGCAAAGCCGGTTTGACAGTCCCCCAGTTTAGGGGTCCCTGCCACTGTCGCAATCTAGAGAGTAAGTAGGATGATGGAGGAGCCTGCCAAAGGCTTACCATCGTGCCTGCTAGCTGCACGAACCAGTGCGTGCTCTTACTGCCTGAGAGGCTGCCCTGAGGGTAGAAAGTGCTGAAACTGTCTGTAGTGATTACTGGTCCATCGAGGACTTTTTTTCTCCACTCTAATGCTCAGACCTGAGCAACCAGCTTTCGAGGAGAATCTGGAGAAAGCGTATTTTCCATGATTTAATTTAATTACACGTAAGTTGATTAAGGTTATCTTCATTTCCAAGGGAAATGAAACATTCAGCTGGCATCATGTCAGAAGCCTGGCTGAAAGCAAGCATGTCTCAGCACTGGCTGCTTTCTGCTGCTTTCAGCAGATTCTTGGGCTTTCTTCAAAGTACAGGCACTGACTGACCCAGAGCATGATTTTTTTCTCTACCTTATTGAAAGGCATTGAATTGAACCAGAGCAAAGGACGACTATCCAGGCTCTGAACAAGAAGTGCTTTGTGTTCTACTTAGCACAAAAGTTCCAACAAACCCCACTGAATGCCATCACCCTATCTGACAGTGACTGTAATGAGGCCTCTGGGAGG